GGGATGGAAAGTCAGTTCGTCCAGGAGTTCTCCAGAGTTCGTCCAGGAGTTCCTTCCATTCTCCAGTACCTCCAGAGATCTCCAGTCAGTCTCCAGTCAGCATGATGAACAACTTAGACTCTGCTAAAAAGGTTCCATCTCTTCAGTAAGTATCTCTCTCTCTAAATCAGTTTTTGTATAGTATATGTTTTATTGAGAGTATTGTAAATGTTAACATTCAAAGTAATGATTTTAGAGTTGAAATATAAATCAAGTGGTATAACCAATGTATTAAAAGAGTAATAAAAGATATTATAAGTAATATTGCTGGTCTGAGACTCATCTTTACTCTAACTGTAAACTCCTGGAGTTAGCGACTTGTGGCTCCACTAGTCACGACAAATCCTCCCACAAATAAATATGGTGTACAGGTTGGTTTTAATTGAAACTCCAACAATTAAGCTCACCTGAGTGCTAACCTGTTACAATATTATCCGGTGATAAATGGATAATTGTGGAAGATATACCATTGCCACAGTATGTTAGATTACTGATAACATTACAAGAAGAGTTGGTATTGTTTGAAAAATTGTTGAATGTGAAACTCATGTTAGTTTTAGTGAAGAAGGTTCAGCAAATGTGACATTATATCACATGAGAAATCAAGGGACAGCTATCTTACAGTTAGCTAGGATATTACAGGAAGGACTAATTGAAAATTACAAGACCTTAATTAGACAATATCATGACGAGATAGGTGAACTATTACTAGAATTACAAAATATTAAGGATAGCGTATCTATATCTGACAGAACTAGACAAAGACGAGGGTTAATAAATGCAGGTGGAAGTATTCTAAAATTTCTACTTGGAACAGCAACCACTGACGATTTGCAAGACTTAAATAAAAAGGTAGAACAACAGAGACAGGTTTCTAAAGAAATGATTCACTTAATAGGAGAGCAAGCAACTATAATGAATTTGTTAAATCAAATGCTTGAATTATCATACATGACCAAGAAATCGGAAAAGTATCTAAAGCTTTGATAAATATTACTAATGCATTAATACACACTAGAGTAAGACAAACTGAGTTACATAAAGCAGGAATAGAAATGTTAGTTTTTAACACTAGAATTCAGAATAATCTACAACAGTTATCTTTTACTGTAGGAAGTAGTAGGACAGAGTTAGTTAAGTTAATACAAGCATTGTATGTAGCTAGAAATAAAAAGCTAAGTTCTTACTTTTTACCAGCAAGTAAACTAGAAAGAGTGTTAGATGAAATTGAAAGGAGATTACCTCCACATTTACAGTTTGTAATTCCTACTCATAGTGACCAAATTTATATGTACTATACATGGGCTGACATGAAAACAGCCGTGGTTAAGGATACTCTAAGGATGTTTATAGAAATACCATTGAAAACAACTGACAGAATGTTTAAATTGTATAAGATTATATCTTTACCGATAGCAATAAATCATTCACTAGCTTTAACTATAGAGAATGATAAACCATACATTGCCGCCTCGAGTGATCAACATACATATGTTGAAATGACAGAAAAAGATATGTTAAATTGCATAGACGGACCTATCAGAGTTTGTGATCCTG